ACCACGACCGAAGAATTTTTTCTGATAGCCTAAGAAAGTGTTTCGGATCACACGTTAAAAGGTAAGACCCCCGTCATTCCTTGCTCGCACAAGTCTTTTGAAGACTTCTGAGGATTGCTCGTAAGGGGGCAACCGAATGACGGATAAGAACAATTAAAGAACAATATTCTTCAACGGCCGACGGCCGTTAACAATATCAACACGATGTTGAAGTTTTTCTGTAGAATTACGGGGTACATGGTTTGTTCTTTCCTCGGAATCAAAATGTAATCTTCCAGCGGGATTACAAAGTCTTGAACGACACTGGCCGATACGCAAATAACGGCTTAGTATGAATCGTACAGAGCTATCTTCAGCCGAGCTATGACATTCAAAATTCAATGTCATCTATTTTTCCATAAATATACACGGAGAAGCATCTATAGTACCCATCTGTACTACAATCAGAGTATTGTACCAGCCTCCTAGAATGGCCAAGAGTCGTTTGAAATGCCAACACCCTCTGTCTTAGACTAGCTGACTTTAAGGCTGCGAATATTTTGTAGCAGTGATGACAGGTATGGTACTAGCGAACTGTTAATATGCTGGTATTCCATTTGACGCGGCAGTGATTATGCCGACCGACGATGAGTTTATTTATTTATTTACAACCAAATATGTAATTACTAACGTCGTTGAAGGTTGGGAAGTGTCATATTACTACTTCCCATCCTCACTTCCCGTCCACTCTACTTCCTGCCCTCAATTATGTAATATTTCAGAATATGTTCAGAACGAAACAGATTTATTAATTTTGATCGAAACATGATGGTTGAAAATAAAATAGTACACAAACCTCGGTGGAAGTTTCATTCCTGTCTGGAGATTATAGCTAACTAACTGATCTCACGCCAGGAATGAATCACTTCCCACCTCGGTGTGTAATATACTATTGTTATCTACTGACAATGAACATCGATTGAAAATATAATCCTGAATGGATCAACAAATTTCAATTTGGCGCCATTTGCACGTTTGTGCGTTCTTGTGAGAAGAAAAATGGAGCACTACACGAATAAACAATGCATTTTCATTGAGTAATATTCTAAAAATGAGGAGTTTGGCAGCTACAGTTTGCAATGTTCGTAACTCTTGTGTACATTCTGGGACATCCATGAAGTTGTAACGTGAAAGAACCTTTGAAGCAGAAAATTAATGACCGAAACAAATGGGTGTCCCAACATTTTCGCAAGACGTTAACGATTTGTATCAATATCCGTCAAATTTCCTTATGCTAGGAACAATAGCATTTGAATACGCCATCGGAATCAAATTTTGAAGCTCCTTTCGAAAATGATGTGTGCACTCAAATATGGCACTTTTGTGTCGTTTTCGGATAACTTAATATCAGAAAGAAGAAAGATAAATCTTCATCAACTCTAATAAGGACCAAAAGAAAAGTATATAGAGCATATCTCATACATATCTCCCAATTTTCATTTGTATAGCCTCTATCTACTATAGGACACCAGTTTATTGTAGTCAAAGCTACCAAAACAGCAAATAATTATAATGAATTTCACAAATGTCAAAATGTAGGTTCATATGTTTGAGTGTTACAATATACTTATAGCGAATTCCATTGGAATGAACTTGTGGAGTATTTTTGCACTCAATGTATATGTTTTCTTCTTATACTTGGATGTGTTAAACAGAGTTAAATATACATTTAGTGCAGGAACACTCCACCAGTTCCTGCCAATGGTATTCGCTATTAGTTTCATTTGCAGCAGTATTCCCAATATGCAAACAAACATTTTCAAACTATAACACTAAAATGATCACATTTTTTTAAAGGGCGTGACTGAACATCGAGGCATTTTCAATTTTCAATGTCGAATGGACAAATTGACTGAACTGACAACTTCAAGTTTGATCTTACTCAATATCTATAGAACATGTTTTTTTCCAGTCAACGTAAAGTGTTGAATTGTCAGAAGCTACTACAGGCTGAAATGTTCATCATAACTGCAAAACTGAGAGGAATCCCAACATTGTTCAATTCCCTATTGGCCGTTTCTTCGGTGGCTTTTCAATTATTATTGCTACTCTACATATTCAATTAGAATCTTCGAGCCAGTCGCAGATTGTCATGACATACGCGAAAGAAAAAAATTGCAATGATAAAATGCATTTCCACGATTACAACACATATTAAAGTATATAATATAGAGAATATGTACGATAAAATGCATAGTGTCATACGAGCTCAAGATCCATGTCGAAACAAAATATTGTAAGAACGTTTCAATCTGCTATCTTTAGTTTTTATCCATACTGGAACAGAATGATGCTTCTCAACAACGAATTCCATTTCGATTATCAAATTATGAAAGTCAAATACATACGGCTTACCTACTTTTATTACACTGCAATTTTATAACTATTCTAGACAAACTCAAGTTTAAAGTTAATTTGATTGGTCAATTTCGTACACTTGAATGGACATGGACGGATTTAATAGAATTTATATTTAAGCAATACATTCTTTCGGGTAACAAGTCCAATATCAATATCAATTATCAAAGCCTACATTAGAAAAAAAGTTGTTGTATACAATCATTACACAAAAAATGGAAGTTGAAATTTTTTCACAACAATGTATGACATAGAAAATGTATCCTTAATTTATATTTTGACTCGATTATTTGTACATCATTGATGATCATAAACAATTCACATTCAGGTTCATTCACAAAGAATTGCTCACCAACATTTTGAGACTGATTATCAAATTTACTATCATTTCCAATACTGACAATTTGTGCTGATTTGCTGAAATAAGTCACCAACATTTATACACTCAACGCTCCTTCGCTATTTGCCCACTGAGAGAATGAAATTCATGTTTCACACTCACGAAGTGCTGCTGATAGAACATGACGAAGTTATAGTTGCTTGTGGCATAAGACTCTATAAGACTGTATAAGACTCGTATGAATATGTACTTCTTGATAAACTTGTCGAACTTAGTAAGTAGCATTACATTCTCGAATAACTGATGCCTACTGAGTAACGACTCAGAAACACTTGACATTGTGATTATAGCACCGAACAAACCAATGATATATCAACTTCTTCGAACTGACAGTTTTGAAATGTGATGTGGCAAGTCTATTGTCACTTTCGAAAATTCAAACTTTCGGAAAGGCGAAGTAAATCACAATATGGAAATGATCCAATCTTTTACCTTGAACGGACAACACCTTCAAACGTTGTTTTCCAACACTCAAAGTGAGGGAACTTTGCAGACGAATGACTGGATCAATATATGCCCTAAGAATTTTAACAGCTATTCTGGTTCCCGAAACAACCGTCTTATGTCAAAAAGATGGCCCAGACATTGATCCATAATCTACAGGAGGAGGAAAACCTATTTCGTTCATAAGCAACTGTTGACAAGACTCGTTTTGGCCACCTGTTCCATTAGCTTTCATGGAGACCCAGTTTTCATAGATTTTTTTTCTCATTAGCTTTCAAACTAGCAACAAATAAAACTTCAACAATTGCCAATTCATGACATTTCACCCCTCCTGTACTTTCTTTTGATTTAGAATAGTCTTTTTAGGAATTTGAACCAGAATCAACTGCATTCATTGATGATGTCACTGTTTGGTTCATCTAGTCTAGAAAAAACCTTGAAAAAACTAAAATACCAATACATTAGAGTCATTAGACATAAAGAATAGAAATTAACATTGTTGGTATTATAAATAGATACATGAATATATCAGTTGAAATAAAAAAAAAAAACAGATGCAATCACAACTTTTCCTATAACCCAACTCTCAATAATAGCCGAAATTGGTGTATCAAATTAAATAAGCAGTTCAAGTGCAGCATAGTTATTTCCGTATTATTTTAGTAATCATTGGAATTTCCAGAATTACCACTCTGTGATATCACATTCCCCAATCTGGAAAGTAAAAGAATTTCAGTGAACTATCAACTGCGAAGAAGCCCATACGAGTGTATATTTATGTATTTTCAACAAAATCAGATCCTCCAGAACATAATTCCATACAGGATACCATGAAACATTACGAAGCTATCAAGGAATATTAACCAACACACAAAAAAATCACACTTAAAACCATGACAAAAATGTACGAGTTGAAAATATGCAAACTTTAGAGATACAAGTTATTATATCCAGCAAGAAATTGTTTGAAATCTGAGTTTACAATGAAACAATAATTACTGCTTGATAATTGATAAAATAAATATCCGATTATTATTTCGATTTAAACAGGAATTAAAGTTTCTAGTATCTCGACAAACCTTTCCAGCACCTGACGAAAATGTTCAATACAAGTTCGTGAGTGATATATTCCGAGTTTGGGTTTATAAATTTGTATCTGATATTTTCATGCTAAATTTCTCTAATGAGATTGAAGTCGTTGAATTTCAAAATATCATATGACCTGAACGTCGGGTCATAATGAATTAATCAGCTCTACATAAAGGATCGTGCTTGAATTTTGATCAAATTATAAATTGAGTTGAATCGGGGTTTTTGTACATAAAAAGTACACTTAATATAGGCAGATAACTAAAAAGTTATAGATTTCAGTGGCTAATTCAAAATTTCAAGTCAAGGTCAGAGATTAAATGAACGCTCAATAGAATCCTAGTTAACTTGATAAAACAATTCAGCCGGTAGAACCTCCAGAGAGAATGAAACATTCACTAATAATGCATTTTTCCAAATGATAAAGTTTAACTGATTCAAGGAAGACATAAACTTGTTTTATTTTGGTTCATTGGGTTCTTATAAGAACATAATTGAATCAGTTCATCTACAGAAAACGCAGTATATTGATTTTATTACAGTTGAAATTATATATAAAAATATTGAAAACGTCCATGATTAACTATATAGATTTTTGAATAATCCTATTTTTCTGTTCACCCAAATTATTCATCGACTGTTTAGCAAATGAGGAAGTAAAAATAAATTCAAATTTCAATATATAATTGCACACTATACAATTATATGACGTCTACTTAATAAATTATACATATAAATAATTATTTTACAAATTAACCAAAAATGGAATAGTATAAGATAATTTGAACTATGATTGAACATTGAACCTATTGTTAGCAATTTTCATGAAGACAAAAGAATTAACAACATTATTACAGAAAACCAAGAAAAGTGTCATTTTGAAGCTAGTCAAAAACTAAGTGCAGTATGAGTATCATTATCATTTGAACTTACCAAAAATACCAATTTACATTTTATTTTCACTACCAATTCACTTTATATTTATGAAGTTATAATTGAAATAAAATTTAAAAAATTGTTAAGAAACAAAAACTAAGACAATAATCAACCCAATATTTATGTACAATGTATAATAGATTCTATATGCTATATACAAACTATGTGAAAACATTTCTAACTTATAAAATAGTTAAAAGACGAGTTGGCTATAAAAAAATCATATTGTGAATGATTCTGCAGCAAAACTGATTCTGGAAGCATTCAAAAAGTTTTTTGAGCGTCTAATTTTAGTAACACCTGATAAAATTGTCATATAAATACAATTAAATACACACATTTTTCTCAAATGTTCTCAAACACGCACACGTTTATTATAAAGAACCCTCAAAAGCCGCCATCAAATCACTTTGCATGTTCATATCAATTTTGTTTGCCATCTGTAAAAAAAATTGTAAGTGATGAGTTTTGTATTAACTATCAATCATTCAAATGTTGATTACTTTAGAATTTCTTTCGTAATATAACTTATTTGTACAATTCTCAGAGCGTAGACTAATTTTAAACTTCAACTTATGGCAATGAATTTCACCTAACATAACGACCAAAACAGTGGTAGCGAATTCAGACTTTTTGGTGAATGTTTCATAGCCAAAAAACCACACAATAATGTTTATCAGGCATGATTGCCATTTCAACCAAAATAGAGATAACAGTATCTGATTCACACGGATTAAAATTTTGAATTCTAACGTTCAGATATTGAAAAATTTCATTCAAATTTAAAATTTTGAATTCTAACGTTCAGATATTGAAAAATTTCATTCAATATACCGGGTTCAAAATTATTGTTTGAAATTCGTTCATTCATAGTTCGCAACGATGGTAATTCGAATTGAAATTTCAATAGTGTTATAACCAGCTGAACCACACGTAATAGTATATTACGTAATATGTGTTGTAAGAACCATATTACGCACGAATGGAAAAGTTACGCACATAGCCGCGGAGCGTCGAGTGCGTAATTCCATGAGTGCGTAATTGCTTTACAACACGTATTACGTACTATACTTTACCTACTGCCATATAGTACATCAAAAAAGTTTGGACAAACAGTCTGAATTATAATTCTTGACAGTTATGTCATCCGCTGTTGACGGCGATTACGCGATCATAACATACCGATACTGGCGGAATAAACGAAAACTGTGTGATGTGTTTACTGTGCGTAAGAAGCTTCTTACTGAGGCTGTATCTCGTGTGTTCTTGCCTACTTTCTATAGTGGCCGTAGGTAAATTTTATTACCAAAGCTTTTGTCAAGCTTTTAGCATTCTATTACCATCGAATTTTGAATTTCCAGATATACAGGGTGTCCCGAAATTAGCCTCCAAACTTCACCAGCGGCTTTTACGAGTCGAGGAATGTCTCCTAAGGGAGCTAGGGCCCCCTGAAAGGGGGCTCCTGAAGATGATATTTCTTGAGTATTTCCGAAACTCTATGTGATAAAAAGATGCAATTTGGTACAAGAACTTTTCATGCCCAATGCAGTGACAATGAAATCATTACAAAATTTTAATACAGGGTGGGAGTACCTAAAATATTGCTCTAAATTTTTTGTATGCATATTTTTCGACAATTCAATTCTAGATTATGAAATTTCTCACCTTTTTACAGAAAAAAGGTATGTCTGTTCCGTGACGATCAGATGTGTTATTATCGAGTAAACGCAATTTAAAAATATTGTTACATCTCAGATATTATGCATAACATTGCAATGAGGCGTAGTGAAAATGGAAAAAAATGCCCAAAAATTGCAGTAGTTTTTTCATAACCTCTTTTTTTAATTTTTCGCGCTTTTATGATGTTATTTGGAAAAAATAAAGTACTTTATTTTTTTATAGCCACTATGATTTGAAAATTGGCAACGTTATGCATAAGATGTGAGTGCATCAATATTTTTAAATCGATTTCACTCGAAAATGATACATACATCTGATCGATGAGGAACAAGAGTACATTTTTTCGTGAAACGGTGTGGATTTTCATAATCCGAGATTAAATTGTCAAAAAATATGCATAAGAAAAAGTTTGAGCTATATTTTATGTAGCCCCCCCCCCCCCTGTATTATACACTCCTGGATGTCGTTACAATTTGCGTGTTTCATAAACAGTAATATTGTAGTATCAACTTGAAAGTTGTATCTAAATAAAATTCCATATTCCACAAAAAAAAATTAATACTCAGCATGAAACAATATTCCACATTATCGTTAGGGACCTGAAATAATTTTTGCAACAGTTCTTTGAATACAAAGATATTTTGTACTGAGCACAATATTATTTTACACCATCAGTGAGATCATAGAACCATCTATGTGATAATAAATATTGTATTTCCCAAGTTAAGGAAGGTTCAATATATCAGTAAAAATAAAGATTCGATCTCCTCAAATGAAAACTGCCAATAAGATATCATCATGAATTACTCACCACCTCTCTTCTCCTCCTTTCTTGCTCCTGAAGCCTTTGACGTTCTCTTTCAGAAATTCTATCTGATCCTGAACTCAAGGAACCAGGAGATGTACTTCCCTCGCCCGGTGATGATTTCAGCTCTTCAACTCTTTGTGCAGAGATAGGCTGTTGTTGTTGTTGTTCAGCCACAGCTTTCCTACAGAAATAAAAGTACGTAGCAAAATGCTTATTGCGAGTTGTTCAGAAGACTATACCTCGCCTTTTCTAAAGCATCTTCCTCTTCTCGTTCTCTCCTCCTCTCGTTTTCCGCTCGTAGCCTTTCTCTTTCGGCTTGCTCCCTCTGCTGTCTCTTGAGTTCCAGATTTTCTAGCCGCTGTTTTTCTCTATCGGCCTTTTCCTTCGCTTTGTTCTGGAAAGCTTTGAAACTATCCATCACTTGTTGTTTGCTACTGCCTCCTGGCGTATTGCTTTGTGGTGACTTACCCTTGGCTAAACTCGACCAAGAACTGGCATTTTTTACATTGTGCTCTGCCTTATCTGTTTTGAAACCACCAAACGTTTGAGAAAGTGGTTTCTGATTCAAGTTGAGTTTTTTGTCATTCAATAAATTACTAATTACGTCAAGACGGTCGTTCATGTGAGGCGGTTCATTTTTTATTAATTGGTTGTTCATATGTTGAGGTATGGGATCAAACATGGAAGGAATCGATAACTCCATGGGTAAGCCCATCGATGAAATTCCATTATTATTCATTCCCATTTCGAAATCATGTTTCAATCCGAATCCGTTATTCTGCGCATGCATCATATTTGGTTGGTTATTATGGGTCTGCATTAAATTCGGAATATCCGATTCGCTTATTCCGTGATGCATCAAGGGGTTACTCGGCATTATACCCATATTAACAGGCGCTTTGAGATCCATATTCATAGTACTGGGCTGCAAAATAGGATGACTTAGGTTAGGGTTCAAATGAATGGTAGGATGAGGATGAGACACAACAGGATTACTCAAGGAAGTAGGCATCTGCATAATGGTCGATGCGACTACTGCATCTATGGGGTTGTTTTGCTTTATGTCATGCTCTAAACTTGCCAAGGACTGTTCTAGAGGGTCAGTGTATGTACCAACGGATGAAATGATGTTGGGTTTTGGTGTATCGGGAGAAGGAGTCGGTAACGTGACAGGTTTGACTGGTTGGGGAATAGTGGTGGGAGTGAGAGTTTGGACGAGTGAAGGTGAGGCCAAAGGTAACTTTCCAGAGGTGGTAGACGGTTTGGGAGTGGAAACAGGTAATGCAGCGATTGTGACAGGCGCTTGCTGTTTGATAGTTAGGCTTGCGACGCTAATTGGGGGAACGACCAAAGGGGCTGCTGGAGCGATCTCAGGAATGCTGTTTGTGTTTGTCGTTGGTGGTGCGACGGGTGCTGGTTGTGGTGGTTTCTGTATATTCTGTCAAAGAAAACAATACTCTATAGTGAACATGCAATAAGATTGTGATGAGCATGTTAATACAAACATTTCATATATCTGAATCAGGAAGATGTCACAAAAATAATATTGCCTTCTGAAACACTTTCGATTATATCATCCAATGCAAAATGCGAGGTAAAAACAGCTAACTCATCAATCTTACAATTAAAGTTCGTAATTACTTACCGTAGAAGAATTGTTAACAGAAGGATTGGGCGATTTTTTAGTTCCTTTCTTTTTCGGTTGCCTGTTTCCTGTAGCACCTATAAAACTTCTATTACTGAGAAATAATACATACTTAAATCTGTGGGTTCCTTGAGTGCAAAGTGTGAGAGGTCTTACCACAAAAACAAACTAATCACTTTTTTATATATTAAATTTAATAATAAACTTCATTTCAGACATCACTGTTAATGCTTACATTTTATCATTGTAATCTGAATAAATATACAAATAAAAATTTTGAATGTTCAGCTGAAAATACTATTATAGAGGCAAGGAATATTGTGATCATTAAATACTTCACATATTTACAAAAGTCTGTATCCTTTCTTTTCTTATTTACATAGTATAGTCCCCATGATATCCCGACAATTAAAAAAAATAATCAAAGATGGCAATATATCTATATTAAAAAAATGCCAATTACATAGAAACAAAGAATATAAAATAATCAAACAATATTAAATAAAATATAGTGCGAGAAATCTTGATTTATGTGAGAAAATAGTATGTAAAACCATACTGTACGTAAACAATATCAATCAAGGATACATTATAAAAAATAATGACTTAAGAAACAGGACAAATAATACGAAAACACATTCAACTCTGTAAAATAACAGATGTTAATCATCTCCTCAATATATACATTTTACATCACAACGTAAGTTATTCTGATATGGAATATCTATTATGGTCTACGTATTCTGGACAATTAAGAGTTTTATGTTTACTTGCCTCTAAAGTTATTGAAACTGCCACTTTTAATTTATTCCAAGCTCAATTTATTCTAAGTGTTTGCATCATTATTATAAAATAATTTAAATAATCGTATTTGGAATCATATTTCATTCAGTACAGCTGCGAAGAAATCAAAATACTTTTAATGAAATGCCTAGAGTGCAAACAATGTGGGTGGAAGCCAGCTTCTATTGCTGACCAAATATAACATTTACTTTTCAAACCATACAGTACCATAGATGACCAATTTTTGGTGGTGTTCACGAATATCACCTTTGGAAATATCAAGCATGTGCGATAACAATACATTAAAAAATTGCACATACTACGAAAATCTTACCAATTTGGTACATAAATCTAATATAACCAAATCATCAGAAATGTGAATAGTGAACACCAACTGGGATAAAATTAGAAAATAATGTACTTTCTTGAATTTGCCCAGATATAAAAGTATTGAATACAGCCGCCACACACATTGTCTGCATATAAATGTAGCGCGTATATAATACAGTCACCTGATGTCGAAATGGAAGTCGACCGAGAAAAATGTGGTAAGACCTATTGGTCTGTATGGTTGGTCCGCTCAGCAGGGCCCCACACATTGATGCACTCAAGGCTAACCCTACTACCCATTTGAACAAATAATGAAATAACTTAATTATTTGTTCAAATGTGGCTCAAATACTGTAAATCCTTGAACTCAGTGATCATATATTTTTGTACTGGAGAGTATGTGGCAGTTATCGAAATATACTTTGCACGTTGAATCAAGTCAAATTAATTTAAGCACCAGCAAAAATGTATGTCAGCATTTTATTTCCGATCAAACTGTTCATCATTTATATATAAAATTAGTTGCAGTCCAAAACCCAAGGTAATTTCAAAACCAATAGGTTTCAATTACCATACCGAAAGTTAGGATTTCTTATGCTTCACCTGACAGAAATACTTTAGTGTTCAAAGTTCACAATTCAAGTTACTACAAGTATATTCTATTTACAAAATTCTATCAACATTACATTTTATAATATTCGAAATGTCGGTGATAGTACAGTCCATTTGCCATATTCTCGTTTTTTCAGCAGTAACAAATAAACTAAATCTTTCATACATTTTATTGATGACTACTGGACAGCTTTGCAAAGTGTTAATGCAATTTCCGAAATCAAATTCATATACTCTATAATATACACTATATTCAACAAACTTTCTCACTAGACTGATCAAAAATTTCAAAAAAACAAGTATTTCTTCAACAGCTTCACTGTAAAATTGCATTTACATTTATAAAAAGCTGTAATTTTTCTCAAAAATAATATATAAAATATAAAAAGAAGGCAAAAATCAACATATTTTGCTATCAGCAAAAATCTCAACACACTGAGAACTATTCTTCGTCTAAGACAATAAATTAAAAGCATGGCACTAATGTCCTATTAATTATTCTCAATAAAACTGTAAAAAAAAAAACAGTTCATCTGAACTGGCTATGCCGACAGACTGATACACAAAGAATATCTTTTTTATATAAATATCTGGAACGCTTTTCCTTCTTCAAAATGAACACAGAGGAAATGGTTAAAAATAAAGCTAACCTGCTTCACTATCGCTGGAATCGCTGGAGCTGCTAGAGAGGCTGCTACTGCTGCTGTCAGAGTCCGAACTACTAGAGCTAGAGGACAGACGTCCTGATGGTCCTCCTGCTCCTGTAGGATCAGCTTTACTTGTATCATCTGCAAAGAAGAATGAATGATAATTCTCGAATATATGTACAGTATGTCTGAAAAAGTTGGCAACTAATTTTTTTTTTAATAAATTTTAGAAAAAAAAGTGATTCTTCATAAAAAGTTCTGCAAGGCCTAAAACCGAAAATGCAAATATCAGATAGCAATATTTCAGTCGTATATGAGGTGTGTCAAAAAAATATCAATTTTGATCAAGCGTAAAGACCTTCATATATCGAAAATTGTTAAATAAAAAAATTTACTAGAATTGAAAGCTACGTTCCAGTATCTAATTACATCTCTCTACGATGGAAATGAGGTTTTATTATTTTTTACAATAACTTCAAGTTCAATTCATATGGCACGATAATACACTACACTGTTTTACCACTAACCAAACCGATTTTTTAAACGCCTTTACACGTGTTTCGCTAACTATGTTAGCATCTTCAGGAGAAGATTGAAACGAACTCAGTTCTGAGTTCAGTTTCAGTTCAGTTCAGTTTCAATCTTCTCCTGAAGATGCATGCTAACATAGTTAGCGAAACACGTGTCGAGGCGTTTAAAAAATCGGTTTGGTTAGTGGTAAAACAGTGTAGTGGAAAACTTTCTAATTAATAATTTTAGAAAAAAAAATCATTCTTCATAAAAAGTTCTGCGAGGCATAAAACCGAGAATGCAAATATCAGATATCGATTTTTTTCAGTCGTATACGAGGTATGTCAAAAAATATCAATTTTGATGAAGAGTAAAGTACCTTTCTTCTGTGACGGGAAAAAGTTTTGACATGTTATCTCTGTTGACAGGTTACAAAAGTCACTTTTCATAAATTACCTTTTTCCCACGGGAAAAAAGTGAGTATTTTTTCCGGGATAAACACTGTTGATGGCTTTTGTCGCTTTCGTTGTGCTAGTTCCGAAAAATAAGCTAATAACACCGTCTCCGAGAAAGATACTGAAAGTCCTTTCTTATTACTGAAGAACCACTGTTCGCAATTATTCAATATCAAAACACAGAAATATACTGACACATATTCGATTACTTCAAAAGGTTTCCATAGCATGAATAATATATCGAAAAAAAAATGACTAGTATTGAAAGCTACGTTCAAATATCTAATTACATCTCTCTACGATGAAAATATGATGTTATTATTTTTTTACAATATCTTCAACTTCGATTCATATGGAAAACTTTCTTATTATCAATTTTAGGAAAACAGTCATTATTAATAAAAAGTTCTGATTTTTATCGTAGATAGGTGTATTTAGATATTTGAACCTAGTTTTCGATTCCAGTCAACTTTTTTATAATAATTTTCGATGTTAGCGAAAATGAAAGTACAGGGTGATTCACCATAAATGTCCCCCCATCTAGCTCACTTATTTTTGAACCGATTTAAAAATTTGAAAAATCATCTAAAAATTATTTCCCAGACATTTTTTTCCGTTGCATCAGAATATACAGAGCTGATTTCATCAATGCACACTTGGGGTCTAGCGGGAATGATTACAGAGATATAGGGTGTTGACAATCGAGATTTTTCAACTTAAGTATATTTTTGTGTCGAAACTATTCATTATTGGTCAAAACGGCTTCAATGTCCCTATGCCAACTTTTGATTTACTATCTACTGACATTTGATTGGAACATATACAGTATGGTTCAAGATTCAGAATTCTGATCAACCTGTATCTGTTCCAATAATTAAATGTTAGTAGATAGTAAATCAAAAGTAAAGATACGGACATAAAAACCGTTCTGACCGATAATGAATAGTTTTGTTACAGAAAAATCCTAAAGTTGAAAAATCTCGATTTTGAACACCCTATATCTCTGTAATCATTTTCGCTAGACCCCAAGTGTGATACATTGATGAAATCAGCTTTTCAGAGAGAATCTTAAAATACAATGAAAAATAGGGTGTTCCATTTAAAAAAATCAAATAGTACTCTGTAGATATTTTGTTCCGAGCACCTTGTATTTTCTGATGTAGCGGAAAAAAACTCTATCGAAAATCATTTTAGATGATATTTAAAATTTTGCAATCGGTTCAAAAATAACTGAGCTTGAGGGGGAGGGGGACATTTATGGTGAATCACCCTGTACTTTACTCTTGAGAAAAAATTATATTCTTTGACATACCTCGTATACTACTGAGAAAAAGTGATATGATATTTATTTCGCATTTTTGGTTTTAGGCCTTGCAGAACCTTTTATGAAGAATTTTTTTCTTAATTTATGAGGTGGTCCAAATTTTTTTCCGGTTATTCCTGGGACTGTTTATTATTATTTTATTCAATTATTTCTTAAAATAAGTATCGACGGTGATTTACCACTTTGGTGGGAATACTTAGAGGAGAATGTACGAAAATCAATTTGTCATTATGAATTTATATATGGTATAATTGCATTTGAAAGTATTTATTGAGTACGTTTAAAATATGGGGATGTGTATGAGACATTGGATTTCAAAAAGCAGATTATTTTTTTTACAACAGTGATTGATACACTCTGATTGTATGGATCTTATAGGATATCGATGCCAAGGATGCATATCAAAGACAATTCATGATTATTCACAACTTTGTTTCCTCAAATGAGGGAGCAAACGTCTACTTTTGATTCACTGAGTAGATGAACATATGAGTACAATAGGTATGTCAGACCAACTACAGCTGCTGTACAGGTTCTTCAATGAAGAGGAAGAAAACGCAGTACACAATCTTTGACAAAATTACGGTTCCTAAAGCTGAGTGGAGAGAAACTAAGAACTCGTAGATACAGAGAAAATCTGAAAGCTAGTTTATGGAGACTCATAAATAAGACGGGTCTAGATGAAGAACTCCGAGGCCTAGGTTCAGATTGAACTCTGCTAAGTAGTCAAGCTCGCTGTTGTTCAGTGATGAATCATTTTGTTGTTCAGTTTATAGTTGTAAATCATATCGTGGTTAGATCTCGGGTTTCGGTAAACTATCAAAATCGGTGGATTATGACACTCTACTAAGATTTAGGATTCAGCTAACCTAACATCTTGAACTGATGGTAAGAAATTTTGTATTAACAAATATAACTAATGATGAGGATAGTATTGCATTTAGAGCACCTCATCGTATGTACAGATTACATAAGAATAATGTTAGGATAGGTTGTGTATGATTTCATAATGTGATGTATTCAACAACACATGCAAAGGTAAACTAGGCAAATTCATTTCAAGCTTGATTGATCATATAAGGCTTTACCAGGGACTGAACAAGCAGCCCTTAACAATGTTACCCGTTTCACAAAGACAAACCGGTCCGAAGAAAAGGGATATCCTGTAATGTTCAGAGAACATCGTGAGAACCAAGGAAAATAAGGTAGAAATTGGTGTTCTTCTTAAATTTCTGGAGGTTATATGCCTCGGGGAACATCTCCCTTGGCAATGTGTTCCAGAGCCCCGCTGTTCGTTGGATAAACGAGTCTTTGGAAAGAGATGTTCTGCAGGTCTTCAAAGTTACCACGAAGGGGTGCGAAGCCTCAACTCGACGGGTTAATCTCGCGGGGACTGCCAAGGGAGGAACAATTGTTGATATTTCAGAAGAGCATCGTTTACAGCTAAATCGGGATTGATGCTGTTAGTGAAACTGGGACAGAATGATTTTTCGAAGGCAGACAATAGGTCGAAAATAGTGTGGGTGCCCATCTAATCTAATCTATTCCTTCAAAGGGGAGTATAGTCAATAACAGTTGTATGTTGCAATGAATATGAATAAATTGAGATGAATCTTACTTGATTTACAAAGACCAATAAATGAAGTGTCTGAAATGCTGATGATTTTCATTCATCAATATGTACTTAATACCTATTCATGTAAACAATAACAAAACGCGTAATCTTGTGTAATGATCGAATTCCATTCAGGCCTCGGATTACTATTCTGAAATCATGACATTCGGATACTAGTTGTTACGTAAAATGTGATTATTAAAATCTGATTGTGTTGCGGAAAAAATATTTTTCAACTACCTAACAAACATAAGGCCTTCGAACTGGTATTATTTTTCAATTACATACCAAATTCGAATTTCATTTCCAGTTTTCGCAAATAAAATGTGCGACAAATGAGCGACAACGAGATAACACGGACGTTAGGCATTTTGAGTGAAACATTGGTTCATACTAGAGTCCCTGTATATACTTTAGACAAGAGTCCGGACACAACTATACTTCTGTCCTTTTCTGTTTTCAAAAAATGCATTGATGATTGAATAAAGGAATAAGACATATATATCGAGCTCTGTCTTTTCAATTCCCCTAGTATCAATGATTGTCAGAAACAATTTTGAGGGTTAGATTATTTGTCAAACCGTTCATAGCCGTAGGTAGAAGTGAGAAATAGGGCTATTTTAACTAGAATAACTATTAGATTTTCAAATAATGAACAACAGGGTGTTCAAATTTCGAATCGATAATTTTCGTAATCAATTCCTGAGATGGCTATTGCAAATTTTCGTCATCAGATATTTCTTTCCTTCATTAGATATAAGAAAGATAATTTAAGTGTTGTACGTGGTATCACATTTAGCCAAGAAAATATTGTTGTTTTTTTGGGATATAAAAAAATAGAAGATATATAATTGTTTCAATATAATTTTAATTGTGTCGGTTTCCCACCTCTTCCTGCAGTCTACATTCACCAGTATATTTTTTAATTTGATCTGAATTAAAAACACCGTGGACTGATGACATAGCACATTGCAATTTCCCAAAATCTTCTAGTTTTGATTTCAAACTTTCAATTTCTCTCCGCATCATCTCATTCTCATTTTCTTTCTCTGCGATCGTATTATTCAGTAATTCCCAATACGATGACGACGGAACTCTTTTTTTGAAGAGATTGACGGCACAGCAGACTCTTTCAATTTGAAATCCATTAGCTTGAAAGAATCTCTATCAAAATGGGCCTAAAATTAATCTTTTTTGTACTGTTTTCACAAGTGAATTCGAATATTTACCTCACATA